CCTCCCCCTCCCCCAGCCCTGGCTCCGGGGGACCCCGCGATGCCGGTCCGCACCGAGTGTCCCCCGCCGGCCGGTGCCTCGGCCGCCTCCGCCGCCTCGCTCATCCCGCCGCCGCCCATCAACACGCAGCAGCCCGGCGTGGCCACCAGCCTGCTCTACAGCGGCTCTAAGTTCCGCGGCCACCATAAGAGCAAGGGTAACTCGTACGACGTGGAGGTGGTGCTGCAGGTGAGCCGGCTGCCGGGCCTCTCGCGGCGCCCACTGGACGGGCCGCGCCGCCGCCCCCTCGATCCCGCGGCCGCGGACGGGTCTCCTGCCCGGGCCTGCCGGGAGACTCCGGTGCACCACAGCTCTGCGGGCCAGAGCCGGGGACAGGCGGCCTCAGACCCGGCCCTGCCTCCCCGTGGCCTGTCGCCCCAGGACCAGCCCTCCTTCTAGCCCTTCTCGGACCCCCGAAGAGCTCTCCAGTGGTTCCCCCTGACTTGGGATCCTCCCAGGCCTGAGACGTGCCTGCTGCCCCCTACGTTTTCCTCGGTCCCAGGAAGCCCAGGCTCTGGGGCCCGCCTCCTTCTCCTGGGGTTTCCTCCTTGGGGGCCTTCCTCAGCCCCCTCCCTCCATTAGCCCCTGAGCTTGAGAGCCCCCAGCCTACCCTGATTCCTGCCCCACCCCCCAGGCCGGGCCTTCATCCTGGGTGGGCTCCTCATCGTCTGTTAAGAAGCTGGCCTCTTAGCCCCCTAACCCCTAGTCTCTTCCTGGCCCAGGCTTCTCGTACTCCCTACCCCTGCCCTCTGGCCACTTCCAGGCTACTCCCGGTCTCCCTGGCCTGTCTGCCCCGATCTCCCTGTCCTACACCTCTGTTCTCCTTCCTGGCTCCAGGGGACCCTCTTTCGTGTTCTTAACTTTGATCGACACGGCCAGGGCTTCCTCCCAGTCTCTGATACCCACGTACTGGGAAATGTAACTCACTCGCTTTATTTCTCACGGTATTTCCTTCCCATGTCCACCCACCTCCCCCCATTTGACCTGGATTTCTGAGAACCTACTGCCAGCCGCTAATGGCTTTGGAACTGCAGCTTTACCCATCCCGGCCCTTTCCTGCACCTCACCCCTCTCGTGGAAATGGGAGCACACTTGACATTTCTTCCCAGCCCAAGGAGATTGGCAGTGGTTGACGCTCCTTTTTCTCTCCCTCCTAAAAAACTGTTCCTTCTCTCTAGCTGCCCAGACCTGCATCAGGACCCACCTCCTCCTCCCTTTGCCCCTTTGTCCTTAGTCTGATATCTCACCTCCTAGGCTGTTCCCAAAAGCCCCCCCAAACATCTGTTCTCTTGAAAGGCTTTCCAGCAGCTTTGAGGTCTTGTGTGAGGACAGAACGTAGCAAGTGTCTTTTCCTTATGCTTGCCCTTTGCCCTTTAATAATTTTAAATCTTAAACAGCCTCTTTTCTGAGCAAGTAGTTCTCCCACCCAAAAAACAGTTGTGGATGCGTTTTCTTTCCACTCGCTGCAGAGCGTTCATCAGTCTCTTTTTTTCTTACTGCTTTGTGGGAATAGATAATTTCTTTTGATTGGGAGAACTCCATTTCCGTGTTGTGTCTTTGGTCTATAAACTTAAATATCTATCATGAGCCACAGTATTTATTGTAATTGAAAAAAATAGGAGTTCCCTCGCGGTCCAGTGGTTAGGATTCAGTGCTTTCACTGTCATGGCCCAGGTGCAGTCCCTGGTCAGGGAACTGAGATCCGGCAAGGTGCAAGGTGCAAGGTGCGGCCAAAAAAAAAAAAGTACCGTGGCTGAGTTATTTCAGTCTTCATGATGAGGTGCCTAATGTGGTAATCCCCCTTCTCTTTTGCTTCAAATGTGAGAGTTTAGTAGGAAGTTACAGGCCTTTTTACTTCTTGCAGCTAATCATAAAATTCTAGAAGTGAGATCCCTGGTGAGGATTGTGTTTTCAATGATCTTGAACTTGTGCCCCTTGTTGAGTTTGATGGTTTAGGATGGGGTCGGGGACAAGTGGCAGGGTAGCCAAGTGTCAGAAGAGAAGTTCGCCTTGGTTACTGCAGCAGCTCCCCTTCCTTTCCTTAGTGTGTTGTTTCTGAATTCCTGTCAGGTGCCAACTTCCTTGTGAACCACTGGGAGTGGGGATTGAGTTGGTGCACGACTGGTAGGTCCCAGGGTGGCCCGAGTGGAGGACCTGGCCGGTGGCTGGAGGCCCCTTGGAGTGGGCCGTCTGATGGTGGGGGCAGCGGTCTCACCCAGGAATGCTGCCCTGTATCCGGACTGGTGAGCGGCTTGTCCGTCGTGGAGACAGTGGCGTGTGAATAGCTCCATCATCTGGTTTTTCAGCCAGCACTGGGTTCTTGGGCTCAGCCTTCTTAGAATACTTATGCTTTTTGTAACTTCATTGATTTCCTGTTTTCTTTCTGTTTTTCGTAACAGCTTTACTGAGATACGATCCACCTATTAGCACAATTCGCACGTTTAAGGTGTACAATTCAGTAGTTTTTTAATGTAGTCACTGCATTAATGTAACAGTCACTGCAATTTAATTTTAGAACGTTTTCATCATCCCCAAAAGAACCCTTAGCTGTCACGGCCCTCCAACCCTAGGCAACCCTTTTTCTTTTTCACCTAAGATTTGCTTATTCTGGACTTTTCGTGTAAATGGAGTCATACAATAATGTGACCTTTCGTGTCTAGCTTCTTCCATTGAGCACAGTGTTTCAAGGTTTACCCACATCCTAGCAGGTGTCAGTGCTTCCTGACTTTTTGTTGTTGCCTAATAGTCCCCTGTGTGGATCTACAGCATTTTGTTTATCCATTGATCCGTCCATGGGTATTTGGATTTTTTCCACTCTGGGGCTGTTATGAACACACTGCTGTGAGCATTCACGTACAAGTTCTTATGTGGACATACGTCTTCCTTTCTCCTGATGTCTCCCTACCAGTGGAATACTGGGTCATATGGTAATGATTTGTTTAACATTTGAGGAACTGCCAGACTGATTTCCAAGGTGGCTGCATCATTTTGCATTCCCACCGGCAGCGTCTGAGGCTCCAATTTATCCATGTCCTCATCAACACTTGTTATTGTCCCTCTTTTTGATTGCAGCCATCCTAGTGGGTGTGAGGTGGTATCTCATTGTGGTTTTGATTTGAACTTCTGGGACAACTGACAATGTTGGGCCTCTTTTCATGTGCTTCTGGAGTGCCTTTTTTTTTTGGAAATTCCAGTTTAAAGAGTTCCTCAAACGTTTGTAAGATTCTGACTGCTCTTTTTGTTGTTGTTGTTTTGTTACTGTGATTGCTCTCTTTCTCCTCTGCCATCCAAGAAGCTAAGAGTGAAGTGAAGGCCAGGTCACTGTGGAAGGAATATTAAAAAGAGCAGCTGTTGGACACAGCTGTGCTGCAAGACCTTCTTGCTGAGCATTTGCCTTGTTATCTTTCTCGTTGAGATGCCAGCCCGTTGTTCGGTTGAAGCTCTCTGTGCCGTGGTGGGTTTGAGTTCGTCAAGATCAATTTGGGCAGAAAGGGAGAGACACATGCTTGGATGGAGGCCAGAATGAAATTCTGATTCTTGAGCAGGTGATAATCCATGCAAAATGTTAGCCAATTTACAGTGCAGTTTTTAATCTTATTAGCAAGTATCCTTGCCACCTGATACCCTTACTGGCAGCTATGAAACCCCAAACTATATTGAAATTCAGTGAGAATTGCATCCTTGAAACTTAAGGCCCTGGGTTAGAGCTGTGTGTCCTTTAACACAACTTCTTTACTGACCCCTGTGAGTTCGGATCAGCTGCTCGATTCTGTCCGATGCCCAGGTCAGCAGGTGAGGACGTTTGCAGGGCTGTGGTGGTTTTCGGGTGGAGACGGTTGTCCCCAACACCAGATGGTGGGACCGCCCCAGCTTCGTTGAAGCCCGCTTGCTTTGGTGCTGACCTCGTCTGGCTGCCTGAGTTCACTGCAGCTTTTAAGCACTGCCTTGGCGTTTTGACTCATGGTGTATTGGAAGTAGCTGGGTCCCCAGATCTGGTAAATGCCACAAAATGTTCCTAGTTTCTTAAATGAGGCCTCACTCAATGTTGAACACTCAGCGTGCCACAGGACCTGTGAGCCCCGGGCTGCACTGGGCGAGCCGGCCTCCAGGCTCCCTCGCCCCCCACCCGCCTGCCGCCCTGGCCTCGAAGGGGCCTCTGCCTGCCGGACGTGATCCTGCTGTCTCCCGCTGGACCCTCCATTGGTAACGAGGCTGTGTGTGTCTTTTCAGCACGTGGACACGGGGAACTCGTACCTCTGTGGGTATCTGAAGATCAAAGGCCTTACTGAGGTAAGCGCCCCTCCCACGGGCAGGAGCCAGAGGGGGCCTCGGTCCTGAAGGGCCAGCAACCTCGACTCCTCAGGCCTGATTCAGGAGCCCCATTTCTAAGTGTGGTTCTTGCAGGGGGAGCGTAGAGCAGGCAGTTTGGACTGTTGGAAAGCATGCAGACTCACAGATCGTTGACGTTTATAAACAGGTCACCATGTGCCCAACGCTACTGATTTTACTTTAATCCTTTTTTTTTTTTTTTTAAAGAAGATGTTGGGGGTAGGAGTTTATTAATTAATTAATTTATTTTTGCTGTGTTGGGTCTTCATTTCTGTGCGAGGGCTTTCTCTAGTTGTGGCAAGCGGGGGCCACTGTTTGTTTTTATTGTTTGTTTGTTTTGTGTTTTTTTGCGGTACGCGGGCCTCTCACTGCTGTGGCCCCTCCCGTTGCAGAGCACAGGCTCCGGACGCTTAGGATCAGCGGCCATGGCCCACGGGCCCAGCCGCTCCACGGCACGTGGGATCCTCCCAGACCGGGGCACGAACCCGCGCCCCCTGCATTGGCAGGCGGACTCCCAACCACTGTGCCACCAGGGAAGCCCGGGGGCCACCCTTCATCGCAGTGCGCGGGCCTCTCACTGTCGCGGCCTCTCTTGTTGCGGAGCACAGGCTCCAGACGCGCAGGCTCAGTAGTTGTGGCTCACAGGCCCAGTTGCTCCGCGGCATGTGGGATCCTCCCAGACCAGGGCTCAAACCCGTGTTCCCTGCATTGGCAGGCAGACTCTCAACCACTGCGCCACCAGGGAAGCCCCTTTAATCCTTTTTGAGGAAAACAAACATAGTAAGAACATAGCTGCCACCGTCATGGGTCAGTTTCAGCCTCTGGGTGAGCATCATTCCTCCGAGGACTGAGGTCTTCGCAGTTCGAAAACGTAGGTGTTTTCCTTTCTTTGAACCACCTTAAACCTCAGAACTCCTGGGAATATCGGAGGCAAGAGAGTGTGCTTTCTTTTCCCGCTGGTGAGCGGGCAACAGGAGGGCCTGGCACCGCCTGGCCGAGGGTTGGGGTCCGCGGCGTTGGGTGGCACTGGCGGGCATCCTTGCGCCGCCTCTTCTGGCCCCACGACTGTCACCTCTGTCCATTCTAGTTTCCTCATCTGCGAGGTGAGAGCTCCAGGCGCCTGCTTTGTCTCCCGGGGAAGATGCAGGGTCAGTGAGTGGAGGCTCCAAGGGACCTGACAAGGCTGGTCCTCCTCGGTCTGGAAACACTTGTTTGCGTCGCCCCCGTTCCTCCTGTTCTCCTACTTCCCCACCGGGAGTCTGGGAATCTCCTGTGAAATTTGTTGTTGAGACAAAAAGGTATCTCTTCCCTCCTCTAGAAAACATCCAATCAAGTCGGGGTAGAAAATGACAGCAAAAGGAAGGGTTCTCACCCATGGGTTTGTGCTAGTAGAAGACCCACAGGCAGGGCTTCCCTGGTGGCGCAGTGGCTGGGAGGCCGCCTACCCATGCAGGGGACGCGGGTTCGTGCCCCGGTCCGGGAAGATCCCACATGCCGCGGAGCAACTAAGCCTGTGCGCCACAACTACTGAGCATGCGCTCTAGAGCCCGCGAGCCACAGCTACTGAGCCCATGAGCCACAACTACCGAAGCCCGTGCGCCTAGAGCCCACGCTCCGCAACAAGAGAAGCCACCGCCATGAGAAGCCCGCGCACCGCAACAAAGAGTAGCCCCCGCGGGCTTCCCTGGCGGCGCAGTGGTTGAAATTCCGCCTGCCGATGCAGGGGACGCGGGTTCGTGCCCCGGTCCGGGAGGATCCCACGTGCCGCGGAGCGGCTGGGCCTGTGAGCCATGGCCGCTGAGCCTGCACGTCCGGAGCCTGTGCTCCGCAACGTGAGAGGCCACAACAGTGAGAGGCCCACGTACCGCCAACAAAAAAAAAAAAAAAAAAAAAGCAAGACACACAGGAAACAGAATATGCTCAACTCTTAGGTGGCCAAACACATTTGTTGAGCGCAGAACATAGACATTTAAATCCATAAGGGAACCAGCAAAATCTGTAACGTGGGATGTGGACACCAGTTCCAAATGGTTGCAGGAAGCTTTGTGGAGATGGTTAAGTAGGATTAAAAATCCACAAACTGTGTATGGAAATGCTGTGGACGTCCCACCGGGAGCAGGTGGCACTAATGAAAGGAAGCACCCCCGAGCCACCTACAGCCAGGCTCCTCTGAGGGGATGGGGTGCTGGCTTGGCCCTTCCCTGGGCCCGGCCCTTCCCACCTGAAGCCACCTTTTACTAGAGGAGGGCTGTGTTTCCTGAGGCCTTTCGTCCTGCCCGAGCGTCAGGAGTCTGTGAATTCATCTTTTTTAATAACTTTTTTTAGTCCCTTTACTGAGATATAATTCACGTAGCGTACATTCACCCATTGACAATGTGCAATCTAGGACCTCCCTGGCAATCGAGTGGTTAGGGCTCCGTGCTTCCACTGCAGTGGGCACGGGTTCCATCCCTGGTTGGGGAGCTAATATCCTGCAACACGCGGCCAAAAAAAAAAATAGTGTACAATCTGTTGGCTTTCAGTATAGTCACATCATTGTACAACTGTCTAACAGTTTTTTAAGTTACAAATCTAGTACATGGCCACTGTGGATAACTGGTAAAATGCAGAAAAGGGTGACGATTCTCTGAATGGTTTTACACCTGTTAAAAAACACAGTTAAGGGCTTCCCTGGTGGCGCAGTGCTTGAGAGTCCGCCTGCCGATGCAGGAGACGCAGGTTCGGGCCCCGGTCCGGGAAGATCCCACATGCCGCAGAGCGGCTGGGGCCCGGGCCCCCCGGCCCCGCGGCCGCGTTCATAAGGGCTAGAATATAAGATTGGTAATAGAAATGAAATGAAAGAGAATTATTTTATATTTATAAAGGACTTACTGTGTCAGACATTATTGTCAATATTTTGGAAACATTAACTGTTCGTGCCCCGTTTCGGGAAGATCCCACATGCCGCGGAGCGGCTGGGCCCGTGAGCCATGGCCACTGAGCCTGCGCGTCCGGAGCCTGTGCTCCGCAAATGGGAGAGGCCACAACAGTGAGAGGCCCGCATAACGCAAGGAAAAAAAAAAAAAAAACACAGTTAACCATTTTGGTTTGCTTTTCCATTTATAGTTGTTGAAAAATCAAATATGTGATTTACTTTAATGTAACTGAACCGTTTGGGTCATAGTCACGGTCTTCCTCGTCTGTACGGAAATAGGGAACATTCACTGTTACGTTGGAGATAAATTGCCTCTTATCGGCCTTACATTCACAAATAAATACAGTTTTTGAAGTTTGTGTGCCTGGTGGAAATTAAATCCCAAAATTGTGAGAATGGGTGTCAAATAACATTCTCTTTGCAGTCCCGAGCCAGCCACCCACAGGGAGAGGGGCGTCCCTGGGGAGGCCCGGCGGAGGCGGCTGGCACCCGGCCTGGGAGCCCAGCCTGGGGGTGTCACGGTCAGGCCTGCCACGCACTCTCCAGACAGTTTTGGACGCTCCCGAGGCTGAACCAGGGAGCTGGTCACACTATCCAGAGCCACAGGTGCTCGTTTACTGCTGGTTTCAGAAGTTCTTGCTGACTTACTGGCCAGTCAAACATTGACCCCCCCCAGGAGGCAGGTCTTCACGGAAAGCTGGAGCCACCTCCAGGCAGGTGAGCCTGGAGTCAGTGAGGGGAGTGGGACCCGGCACAGGGAGCCCCGCCCCGGCGGTGCTGGCCACCCCTCGCCCCCTTTGTGACTCCCCCGCCAGCTGTAGTCAGGGCTTGAATGTCTTCGCCTGCCCTGTGAGAGGCTTTGTCTTTTTGGTTCTTTCTGTGCACATGACTCTCATTCACTAGGTGTTTATTTTATTTAATTTTGGAAGTTTGTGGGTACCTTGTGGTCACCCTGGTAGATTGCCTGAAACATTTGAGAGAGAAGTCGGCGCAGAATCACTTATTAGGAAAACTCGTGACTTGAACATAAGTATGTTCTTTGTGTTATAATAGGAGGACTTGATCATTTATCCTTCTATGTTAGGGAAGTCTTGATAAAACTCAGGAAGTCAATATACTGTCTATAGCTTTTTATTTAACGCCTCAAGTCCACTGTCAGCTTACACAGAACTTTTTCCCTTAGCCGTCCTTCCTAAAACGGATGAGTATAGTTTGGTTTATACCTTTAAAAATCAGGTTTCCGGGCTTCCCTGGTGGTGCAGTGGTTGAGAGTCCGCCTGCCGGTGCAGGGGACACGGGTTCGTGCCCCGGTCCGGGAGGATCCCACATGCCGTGGAGCGGCTGGGCCCGTGAGCCATGGCCGCTGAGCCTGCGCATCCGGAGCCTGTGCTCCGCAATGGGAGAGGCCACAGCAGTGAGAGGCCTGCGTACCGCAAAAAAAAAAAAAAAAATCAGGTTTCCACTTAGGAACTTATCTCCTCTTCAATCTCTTCACTCTGTATCTATAAACATCTGTTTGAGGAACCCAGCACCAGTGTTGGGGTGAGGGCTGCGGTTTCAGGGGGGGTGGCAAACCTCTAGTGTTTCGAGCTCACTGCTCCGAGGACAGGCTGCCTGGATGTGTGTGGTAAAGCAGCCACGGCCTTTCTGGAAGCCCCGGTCCACGTGGCGGGTGAGCCGGGGGAAGTGGCAAAGCCATGGGAACGGATTTATTTTAAACGGGTGGTTAAGTTTGATGCCGATTGAGAGGGGCTTACATGGGGTGAGAAGAAGAAAGCGGGACCTCTATGGTCCCAGGATTTTAGGGCGGTGACCTTTGCTGTGCCAGGCGGCCGGTCATCACCGCACCTTCGGGAGGTACCCGGGCGGGTGGGTGGTGCCGAGGGGCCACCTGGCAGGTGGGTTGGCTGGTTTCTAGAAATGCAGAGAAACGGTACACTTGTTTACAATGTTGACTTGTTCTTTCATTAATTTTTTCAAAATCTTTAATGCTTCCTTACTATCAGAGGAGCAAGTGGCAAGACTGCCCGGAGTATTCCAAGCACCCCATCAGGATGACGGCTTATTTGTTTTTCCAGCGGTTGTGACTTCCCAGGGCCGATGTGATTTATCAATGTTTCCCATCGTATAAGCTGTCTTAGCTCATGCGATAGAATTATACGAATGCCTAATACGTGAAGGTATTCTACCAATCTCCCCCTGTCCCCAAACCTGAAAAGTTGGTGTAAAAGGGACAGGCTGAGCCAGTTTGAGAAGCAGTGGCTGAGCCGTGGCACGAGGGAGATGGAGCCTGATTTCGGAGCCTCTCTGGGTATTCGCCTTGGAAAGTAAAACCTATCAAGTTACCATCTGCTTTGTATTCAGAAATAACCTGTCCAGATATCTTTTCTGAGCCATCAACACTTAACAAGTGCGCCAAAGAAGGGTTCTCTGCTTCTGGCAAAGGCCCCGGAATCCAACAGACCCCCTCCCCCCAGTCCCTTCACTTCAGGCTCCCTCCACGGCCGCGGGCGTCGCTGGTCTGGGTGGTTGCTCAGCAGTGTGGTGGTCATTTCTGCAAAGTTTCGGGGAGAAATTACAGCAAGGTTGGTTTTTTCCTTTGTGAAAGGTTACAACTGCTGTTTGACGTCGTGTTTGACATTTGGGTTCTTACCATAGGAGTATCCAACCCTCACGACCTTCTTTGAAGGAGAAATAATCAGCAAAAAGCACCCTTTCTTAACCCGAAAGTGGGATGCAGATGAGGATGTTGACCGCAAGCACTGGGTGAGTGCCCCTCTGCTCTGGGCCCCCGGGGGCTCATGGGACCATCCCTCTCCAGCCACTGTTCCTTTCTTGCCGCCTCTGCTCTGCGGAAGCCTGCGAACGGCCTCTGCCTTTAGGGTGGGCCGGGGCGGAGGCACGGTTCCCCATCACGAGCAGGACCTCAGGGCCGCTCCGCCCCTGGAAATGCCCGCACCTGTCAGGCACGGGTGTGTGCTCGCAGCTGTGAGCTCCTCAAGACAGCTCAGAGCTCCTCCTCGAGCCTTTTCGCCAGGGCCACGCGAGTCTTGTGTCTTTGAAAACCCATTTCTCAGCCGGTCGTTAGAGCCTTTTGGCTTAGCTGGCTGTGGCGAGGGTGAACTTTGGTTTCACACCGAGGAAGTCCAGTGCGCTCACCCCTAAAGCACCCAGGATGAGGTGTCAGTAGTGGAGATTCCAGAGCAACTCACTGTCCCTGCCACCACTCCTGGCTGTGTACGCGCTCTCCTGCTTCCAGGCCCACGGTCTCCTGGGGGGGGCCCCTCCTGCAGACACTCTGAGTCAGCGTCCTTGTAGGTGAGCTGCTTTCTCATACTTGAGTTAGGAAAGAAACATCTATCAAATGCTGAGTTTCGATTGAATTTAAACTTGAGCTTTTAAATGTAGCAAGCAGACACTGAGATAGATGGCCACCTGTGTTTTTAATAGAGTAAGAACGGGGCCGAGCATCTGGAAGTTGGGGAGCCTGGAAGGTGCCGCTGTCAGGGAGCACCCCTGGGAGCCGTCAGGCCCCGCCCTGGCTGGCTCTCCCCGCCCAGCACCCCGCCCAGCACCTCTCCTGCACAGCCCAGTGAGCACAGGGCCTGTCTTCCTTCCAGCTTTGTTTTCCATTTCAAATTGGTCCCGCGAAAAGCAAGGTCTTTGAGGCCCAATGAAAACTCAGTTTGAGGCTGGTTGGCTGCAGGTGAAGAACGTGGAGAGCAGCTCGAACTTCCTGTTGCCTTTCGTTAGAGCTGGAGACACCTGGACTCCAGCCTTCCTAGGCTGGGTTGAACTATTTTGAGTGAAAGAGGGGTCGGGAAGGCCACCCTGGGCCCCGGCCTGCTGGGCGTGCGAGGTCAGGCGTGTGGACGGTTTCCCTCCAGGAGCGCTGGCTGCCTTCGCGGGACTCAGGGTTTCCCGATGCCCTCTCCCCACGTGGGATTCCCACACTCCCACGTGGGCCCCAGGGGCTCTGAGTGCCCCTCTGTCTGTTGGGGAGCCATGATGTCTACTACACACTGCGGTCAGGACACTGTAGTTGACTCTCGAGTTTTCCTGAATGAGATTTGAAGTGGGTATTATGATAAAGGGATAAAAGATTATGGTGATTATCATTATCATGATAAAGATTCCTCACACGTAATCTACTTAGAATAAAAATATCTGTGTGACAGATTCTATGACTTAATACCTCTCTGTCTTAATTTTTTATTCAGGAGTTCTTTTTATAGAATTAATACATGCTTATTTTTAAATATTTGGAAGAAACAGAAGCAAAACATGTATAATGGCAAACACCTAAAGCTAAAGCAGGAGTTAACCTTTTCCTAAATCTCTTTTGAGTAAATGTACTTTTTTTTTTTTTTAACAAAAACATGATCATAAGGTACAGCTTTGTTGCCGTAACCAAGTGTTACTTGTTTCTGGTCTCAACTAGCTGGCCCCAAGCCGCCAGGCCACTGTGTGGTCAGGGGACCCCCAACCCCCCCAACCCCGGCACTACAGGCTGGTTCAGCCTCAGTCTTTGCCCCCGTCGGTTGATGTACGGAGACCCTGTCCCTGATCGTCCGGCTGCGTCTGTCTGGGGTGAGGTGTGAGAGAAGGCCCGGGGTTGCATCCATCCCCGTTCGGCGGCCTTTCCTGGGCGCGTTAGCTAGGCAGGCGTAGGGTCCGGGCGTCTGCCCCGGGGTCCAGGCCCCAGTGCGTGGGGTGACCAGACGCTCCCTGCCCGCCAGCTGCCGCCTCGCCCTAGAGGGACCACTGCACCGGCCCAGCACACCCGCCACCCGCTCTGTCCCTCATTCTCATACTCTGCTTTTGGCTTTCAGGGCAAGTTTCTGGCTTTTTATCAGTATGCAAAATCGTTTAATTCAGACGACTTTGATTACGAAGAGCTGAAGAGTGGGGACTTTGTCTTCATGAGGTGGAAGGTAAGGCTGCCCGGCTGTGCCGGCCTGTGGTGTGGCCCCCGGGTCCTAGGCCCCTCAGGCTCATTCTCACTCTCCGCGTGGAGCAGGCAGAGCTCCGGGCGGGACCCAAGCCTGGGGCGGCACCCTCCACGCCCGGCGACCCTGCAGGCTGGGTCATCCCAAGTGTCCTGTGTACTCGGGAGACCCCCATCGTCTCAGCCCCTAAGTGACCTGGCCTGGGCTGTGGGCCGTCACGGCACCCCGGGTCCCTCCAGCTCAGGAAACACGGGGCTGGGGACAGAATTTGGGTTTTCCCCCAGCCCTTGAGAACCCGTTGGGCCGGGCTCACTGGGTTGGCTCTGGTTCCCCCTGTGGTATTTCCTGGGTTAGAGCCACAGGGTACTGAATTCAGCAGGCGAGTGTGTGAAATCACTTCGAGAACCTACACCCACCTCCAATCCCTCACCCCCAAGCTGTAGGAAAAAGCCGCTTTATGGTGAAATCTCGCCAGCTTTCCTACAGATGAATCCTGTAGCACCCTCATTCCCGGTCTGTGTTTCTATGGTGAGAATTGGGGCAGGGGCTTGGCACTGGCAGCAGACAGGCAGGTGCCGGGGGAAAACCTGAGTCCCGCCTCGCAGCCAGCCAACTAAGCAACCCACTAAAGGAAGTGTCGGGTGAGGCTCTACTTTAAAATTAATTTGAAAAACTACAATTTCAGAGACTGGGGAAAGGGAAGGAGAGTTGCTTGGTCTCCAAGAGTTTCTCACACAGGGAGACTCCCCCGTGGGCCGTCTAGGCCTCCCGCGGGCCCTGACCTCGCCCCCCAGGGGGCTGGCTCTGCCCGGGGTCTCAGGAGGGCAGCACCGTTCTGACCGCTGCTGATGGGGGCGGTCCCCAGGGCGAGCGAGCTCCACCTGCCCTCGGGGTGAGGCCCGGGCCATAGAAGTGACCCTCGGCTCTCAAGGTGACCGGGAGCCTAGCGACGGTTCCTGGGGCGCAGCAGAAGCGTGAGTCCGCGGCTCAGGGGTGGGAAGGTTGTGACGCACTCTCGAGGCGTGGGCACCACGGCGCCCGCTCTCGGCTCTGACCCCGGTGACCTCGACACGTGGTGGCCATGTTCGTATGTTGAACATGTGAGTGGCTCGGGGGTTCACAGTTGCCTAGCAAGCCACCTGCAGGGAGGCAGGGAGGCAGGGAGGCCTGGGGGGCCAGAGACCCCGGCGCTGACCCTCCATCCCCATCCACGCGCAGGAGCAGTTCCTGGTCCCGGACCACACGATCAAGGACATCAGCGGTGCTTCCTTTGCCGGCTTTTACTACATCTGCTTCCAGAAGTCGGCGGCCTCCATAGAGGGCTACTATTACCACAGGAGCTCAGAATGGTAAGGACCGGCCGCCGAGGCCTCATTTCTTGAGGGGCTCACTGCCGTCCACAGGGCAGTGTAAACAAGGTAAAAAAATGAAGTTCTGGGTACAGGAACTCACAGCTAAACGCTTTCAAGCAGCAAATATTTTCAGCTATGTTTATCTCAATCTTGCGGGTCTTGTATTTATTCCTCCACGGTGTAATCAGTAACTGAAGTGTCAGACGCCACCGTGGACAGCGGGAACTTGGCTGTCAGCGGCCTTTTTAATTTTGTGCTCACGCTCCCACCTGGTGCCGGCTGGTGACCGGCGCCTGCGGGCGTGGTCGGCCCTGCCCTGGGCCTCTGCCCCGGTGACGGCCGCTGCCACCCGAAGGCTGGTGTTTGCCACCTTTGCGGGCCTTCTCGTGGCTCCTTGAGCTTTTGTAAGTGCCCCATTATCCCTGAAGGGCAGACGGTATCATGAAATACCTGATTTCCTCTCTGAATGTGGAAATTATTTCCTTGCGACTTTTGCACACTTTGAAGGCTCCTGCGGGACGCTGCGTGGGGCTACCCAACAACAACCGAGTGCCCGGGGCGCCATGCAGCCCCGGCCTCTGTGGGAGCAGCCGTTGTTGGGGTGTCAACACCTGTTCAGCTTTCAAATGAGGTTTTAAAACCTTTCCTATCCTTTTAAAAATACCCGCTTTAAAGAGATACAGTTCACCTGCTGTGCAGTCTCCTCATTGAAAGCGTACAGTCCAGTGGGCTTTCTTGTCGACAGAGTTGTGCACCCATCACTGCACTCAATTTCAGAACGTTTTCGTCGGCACGAGAGGGAACCCTATCCCCCTGAGCTGCCACCCCACCTCCCTGCCCTCCAGCCCCAGGCAACCACTAACCTGCTCTCTCTAAGTACAGGTGTGCCTGTCCTGGACGTGTCACGCAAATGGGCCCGCGTACCGTGTGCCCTCCATGTCTGAGCATCGGCTTTGAAGGGCCCCGGGTTGCGGTGTCAGTTCTCTGTCTTTATATTGCTGAGCGATTTCCCATCGTGTGGATGGACCACCTTGTCTTTATCTGTTCATCGGTGGATGGACACGTGGGTCATTCCCACCTTTTGGCTGCTGTGGATGTGGGTGTGCAAGAGCCTGAGTCCCTGCTTTCAGTTCCTCTGGTCACAGAGCTGGGGTGGGATTGCCGGGTCACGGGGTATTCTATATTTCACTTTTCAGGGAACTGTTTCCCACAGCAGCTGCACCTTTTCACGTTCCCACCAGTGATGCACAAAGGTTCCGCTTCTCCCGTTTCCCCGTGTCCTTCCCAACATTTAGGATTACAGCCATCCCACTGGGTGCAGAGGCCTAGGGTTAGGGTTCTGATGGCTAATGCATCGTCCTTTCTTTTCCTTTTTTTTTTTTTTTGGTTACATTGGGTCTTCTTTGCGGCACACGGGCTTTCTCTCGTTGCGGTGAGCAGGGGCTACTCTTCGTTGCAGTGCGCGTGCTTCTCATGGCGGTGGCTTCTCTTGTTGCGGAGCACGGGCTCTAGGCGCGTGGGCTTCAGTAGTCGCGGCACGTGGGCTCAGTAGTTGTGGCTCACGGGCTCTAGAGCGCAGGCTCAGTAGTTGTGGCGCACGGGCTTAGTTGCTCCGCAGCATGTGGGATCTTCCCGGACCAGGGCTCAAACCCATGTCCCCTGCACTGGCAGGCAGCTTCTTGACCGCTGCGCCACCAGGGAAGCCCCCATCGTCCCTTCTTGTTGATGTTTTGGGTAAGAGATAAACTGCTCTTCTCTGTGCTGCTCCTCCCTCTTCTGTGGACGGGGTCGGGGGAGCCGACACACTGAGCATCCCCGAGCGGGGACTGTCCCGCCCCATTTATCCTTCATCTGCTTCCCTCCTCGGAGCACCCGTCACGGGGACGCACACCCCGCAGAGCCCTCGGATGCTCTAACAGCCGCGTCTAGGGAGAAGGAAGATAAAGTCGCTAAGGTTGGGGGGGGTGGCTGTGACGTCGTCGACCCCAGGCTCTCCAGATCTCTGCTCTGCAGATCGCACGGCTTCGGAGGGAAGCAGGGTGGTGAGGAGGGCTGGAGGGCCTGGTCTGCACCCTCCCCCAGAGGACTTGGCCTCTCGTTTCCTGAGACAGGCTGTCGTTGCTTCAGGATTGGAACAGGGCCTACAAACAGCAGGTTTTCTGCGTGGTCCAGGGGGATCAACCAGAGAAATGGAAACAAGGCCAAGCTCAGTTCCCCTGACGAACTGTGAGATGAGCTAGCGTTTCATCGAGGCGCGGGTTCTGCGGGCGCCGGGGGGCAGGTTCCACATCCTGTGCTGGTTTTCAGGATGTCCTGACGCCCCCGCCCCCGCCCCTCCTCCCCACAGGTATCAGTCGCTTAATCTCACTCATGTCCCAGAGCACAGCGCGCCCATCTACGAATTCCGGTGACGGACGGCAACCAAATAAACTGAACTCGGCAAAAAAGAAATTTGCCAAGAAAACTGTGTACCTGCCAGAACCAGGAGAACGTGTGTTCCTGTTTCTTCACGAGCAGACTCGCATCAGAAAGCATGAATGTCAACCCACGGCATCCGAGGAGTGCGGCCGAGCGGCGAGGGCAGGTGGAGGGCGGCCTCGGTTCCTCTTCCCTGTCTGTGGCAGTCTGGTCGTAAGCTGTTTTTAAGCTACCGTAAATGCACTTTTCCTCCTGCACAGCTGACTTCTGTATCACTGAGACACACATCCCTTCCCCCACGCCCCCCTCCAGCCCCGGCCCCCCTCGGCCTTGGTGCTCAGTGGTCCCCACCAGGCCCCCCGGCCCCCGGTTGCTTACTCTGGTAGCTCAAGGGAAGGCCGAGCCCAGCAGCCGTGTGCCCCCGGAGCCCTGTGCAGGGAGACGGCCGATCGCTCGGCGGGGTTGGGGCACTGCCAGCCCTGGGATGCTCACGCTGAGCTAGTCAGTGGCCAGCAGCTTCCCCGGGCCTGCCATCCAGGTCACAGGATTTAAGGCTTCCCGATCCCTGGCAGGGACAGATTCCCGTCCTGCTCACTCAGCACGTTTGCTCCAAACTTTTGAACTTGAGGGCAATACTAAACTTAAAAAAAAAAAAAAAAAAAAAAAAGGTTTTTTTATTACAAAATTATTTTTATGGTCCCTTGAACAAGGACCCTATGGCAAATGCACAATTATTCAGAATTACATTTTATCGTTTTCACATTGAAAACAGCAAATGTTGACTTAATAGTTTTTATACCTGTATCTATTTGTAAATGTATATTTAATCAGCCAGCAGCTTGAAACTGGTCACGTGGTACAGAAGTTTTGCAGCATTGCGTCGGTCGCAGCGCTAAACGTGAGAGCCGTTTTGGGGGCCGGTTTAGCATTTGTGCGTCCTCCTTTCGCTACTTAGAACAGCAGTGCTTTGTGGCGCCCTGTCCCGTCAGGCAGCTCAGCAGCGTTGGCGTGGGGGAGGGGTGGGAGCATATGAGCACTCCCAAAGAGCTCGAGGCTCACGTGCCAAAGTGTGTGTGTGTGTGTGTGTGTGTGTGTGTGTGTGTGTGTGTCTGTGCGCATGCGCGTGCAGTTGTGTCATTTAAATGTTTAGAAAGCCTCATAGCGTGGCATCCGCTGTAGCCCGCAGACGTGGGCAGGGCTTGGGGGATTGGCATTTGCTGGTGCTTTACAAGACCTGCTCAGAATACTGGAGGGAAAGCTTTAGCAACGAGGTAGTATTTTAACCCACGGGAGCGAAACAAACGCAAGGTGCACGTCCACGGGTGGGTTAAGGAAGCACAAAGCCCTTCCGTCTAGGTGCGTGGTGGGGCAATCCTTTATTCCCGAGAAGTGACTTTCCTTGATTGACGGACGTACTGTATGTTCCTGAGGTTGAGTCAGGAGAAGCCTTAAAGGAGAAGTGTTGGGGAAGGTGGTGCGTGGGTGTCAGGGCCGCTGGGCTGTGTGGTCCTGAAGCTCCCTGCAGGGATGCACCTGGAAGGGCCAGGGCCTGGGGACCCTGGAAAGTTGCCTGGTGGCTGCAGTGGAGAGATGCTTCACGTCTGTCTCCAGAGCTGAGTCAGAAATGTTTCCCAGATTTTAAAACTCCCAAAGGCAGTGGAGTGGCTGGCTCTGGTCAATCCCAGCTGGGGGCACAAGGCCTGGGCCAGCGCTGCAGGGCGTAACCAGCTCCTGGAAGGGTTTAGGTGCCACTCAGAATGCCGCGGGTGAGGTCCGCCTGGAGCCTGTCGGGGCCGCGTGCGCGTCCTCCAGCGGGCAGGGCAGGGTGTCTGCGCGGCGCTGCTGCCCGGGCTGGCCGGGCTCTGTTGTGGGCTGGCTTCCTTGCTGAGCCAGGGGTCAAGTGCAGCGGTGTTCGGGGGTGAAGAAATGGTACCCTTTGCCAGCTCTTTGGGACACCCCTGTGATGAAGATTGGTTCTCGTACAAACCTGTCTGTCGAGGATGCAGAAGGGGTGGTCTCCACATCCCCTGAGTAACTCCCAGACCACCTGCCCTGACTTAGCTCCCAAAGGAGCTCGGGCGGCCATCCCCAGCCCAGGTTATTCTTTCCTGGGCCTTCTCGTAAACCCACATGCCTCTGCTTCTGTGTGCAGTGTTTTTGGTTGACTCTTGTATTCATCGTCGAGAAACGAGGGCAGATGCACACTCCCTGCCGTCTCCCCCACCCCATCCTCAGGACTCAGCTCCTGCTCTGCTCAGATGCCCTCCACCCCGCACTCTCAGCCTCGCCACTGCTGCTGGTGTCGTCCCTTCCCACCCACCCATCCTTTCAGACTCGACGGCGTCTCAGCTGCGGTCCCACAGTAACTAAGCGATGTCTCCCGTGAAGCAGACGGTCCATCTGCCTGCTGGTTCTGTGGTGATGTGCACGGCATGAACTCCAGGGGAGCAAAGGGGGCTTTTCAATGTCTTTTGCTTTCAGAAACAGGGAATTTATATTCTAAGGCCTTGAATTGATTTTTTTTTTCCTCATAAATAGTCAGATAAGCTAATTTTTAAAAAGAAATGCCATTGAGTATGTGCATTGTGGTTTAAAATTACTAACGAGTTCTGGGAAAGAAAAGTAATATTTGATTTTGAATCTTACATGTTTTTAAAAATTAGATTTGAATGGGCAAAAAGTGAGTATTTTGTTTCTTTAGGGAGTACATGTGGAAAGGGTTTGAGGGTTTGGGACGGGAGAAGTGTTTTGCAGAGCTATCAATGTCCAAATAATTTTTAAAAAATAATAAAGGTATTTAAGCAGTGAGTCTGTCCTATTTCTAAAGCAAAACGGTTCTGTGAGAAGAAACCAACCCGCTTTCTGGCCCTGTGGCTGTGGAGGTTTCTGGGCCCCCGCAGGGGATTCCAACCCGGGGGGACATCTGCGTGATTAGGGGCGAGGCCTCCAGACTAGTGAGCTGGCCCGCGGAGCGGGTTTACCTGCTGGGTGATGTCGGGGTAGAGATGCCAGCCTGGTGCTTGGCTGGTGTGTGGACGGAGCCAGTGAGACTTCCTCCCCGTCTGGAACCTCAGAGCCCGGGAAATAAAGAGAAGGGACGGCGGTAGCCTCTCCCACATCAGTGCTCACCTCCCCCAGGTGCGCTTGCTGAGCGCTGACCGCCGTCCTGGGTGCTTGTGACACGTCCACACGTGACGGACCCCGAGAATGGCCTATGTCCCAGCAGGGGGATACATGGCAATGACACAGTAAAGAATCCGTGTCTGTTAGATGTTGAGGGACAAGCATTACAGGGGAAGAGCAGGCAGAGGTGCGGCAGGCTGGGGGCCACTATGGGTTGCGCTGGTTGAAAAGACGGTCGGGTGACATTGAGCAAAGACCTGGAGGTGGGTGCGAGCCACGCAGACGTGTGGGGATGAGCCCTTCAGGCAGAGGGGACAGCGGCGTGGGGTGTGTAGGAGCCTCGGGCCCTGTGGGACCTTGTCGGTCGCGGTCGCTGTCGGGATCAGGGCTCTGGCTTTACTCAGAGGAGAGGCATCGGAGGGTGCGGGCAGAGGTGGGATGGGACCCGATGCAGCTTTTAAAGGATCTTCCCAGGTGGAGGGACTGAAGGGGCAGGTGGAGAGCAGTGGGAGCCCACTGCCGAGCTGGAGGGTGAAGCTGACAGGCTGCCTGGGGAGTGTAACAGCGAGAGCCGTCCGGGGGGTCCGAGGCTTTTGGAAGAACCAGCAGCCTCTGTGTTAGTTGGGGTCACTGTCTCATTTGTTCGCTGCCGACGTTTGATTCATGGAGGTGTTGGAGTGGAGACACGGAGAGATTTGTAAAAGAAGGGAGCACACCTGCCACGTGGGGCTGTGTGGGGAACACCAGGTTTTGGGCAGAAGGTAAACAGAAACCGTGGTCTTTGTTGGGCTTTCTGAGGGAAGGGCGGCTGGGGAGGGGGGCAAACCGTGTAGGGTCGGCTAGTTGGAGTGATTTGGGCGGGCCTGGGGCACGAGGCTGCCTGGCCCTGGGACGATCAGGCCAGGGGTAGTGGCTAGACCGTTGCATGAGAAGGTATAGCAGCAGTGTGGGCTCCGGGATGGTGGCCTGTGTGGGAGAATCACATGGGGGAGTGGGAGGCTTTGCCTCCCCTGAAAACAGGCCGGCTCTGGGGAGGCAGCAGGGATGCAGAAAATCAGAAGCTTTAGTTGATGTAATTGGCCCTGTGGTGAGCGGATGCCCAGCCGACGAATCCAGAATCTAAGAAAGCACCGAGCCGTGATGGAGAGCGGCTCCAGGGAAGATGCACCTGGACCGCGCATTCATCTCCAGTGCACGTGGCACAGGTGGGGGGTTCCGCCCCTCCAGCCATGGGCACTCGCAGCCACAGGCTGGTCCAGCTCTAACTGGGCCGCCCATGGTCGCCCTGGGCCCGTGAGGATCGGGCGGTGGGTTTCTGGCAGCTGGGTCTGGGGGGTACGCGTGGCCGCTCCCAGCTGGCTGGTGCCCAGGACAGCGGGTCATCAGGTGCAGCGGCCGACGGTGGAGGGGGTCTGAGGGGAGGGTGTGGAGCTCAGTTTTGGATGCATTAAGTCTGAGGAAAGTACAAGTTAAGACTCCAAGTGATGGTGGCTGTGCGGCCCTGAAATTCAGGAGGAAGGTCTGGACTGGAGACGAGGATTGGAGAGCTGTCAGCATCTAGACAGGGTGTTTAAAACCATGAGATGGGGCTTCCCTGGTGGCGCAGTGGTTGAGAGTCCGCCTGCCAATGCACGGGACGCGGGTTCGTGCCCCGGTCCGGGAAGATCCCACGTGCCGCGGAGCGGCTGGGGCCGGGAGCCGTGGGCGCCGGGCCTCCGCGAGGAGGAAGGTCTGGACTGGAGACGAGGATTGGAGAGCTGTCAGCATCTAGACAGGGTGTTTAAAACCATGAGATGGGGCTTCCCTGGTGGCGCAGTGGTTGAGAGTCCGCCTGCCAATGCACGGGACGCGGGTTCGTGCCCCGGTCCGGGAAGATCCCACGTGCCGCGGAGCGGCTGGGCCCGTGAGCCGTGGCCGCTGAGCCTGCGTGTCCAGAGCCTGTGCTCCGCAACGGGAGAGGCCACAACAGTGAGAGGCCCGCGTACCGCAAAAAAACAAACAAACAAACAAAACCATGAGATGGGGGTGCTCATGGATGGGAGGAGGGATCCGCGGTGGAAGCAGGATGGCGGGGGCAGCCAGGGAGCTGGGGTCCTGCGGGCCACGGGACGGCAGGGCCTTCAGGAGAAGGAGGGACCCACTGTGTCCGTGATGCTCAGGGCTGACCATGGGGTCCAGCCGCGTGAAGTTCACTTCTAACCTTGAGGGAGCGGCTTGCACGGACTGGTAGAGGCCAGTGGGAATCAGAGCAAGTGTGGGAGGGAAGGAAAGTGCTCAGAAGGTTTTGCGGGTAAATTATTTCATACTATCATACATACTGAGGTTTCTTTTAAATTGTGGTAAAATATTCACAGTATACGTTTACCATTTTAGCCACTTTGAAGTGTACAGTTCAGTGGCATTAAGCACATTCATCGTGTTGTACGCCCATCACCTCCATCATCTCTGGAACTTTTCCATCTTCCCAAAGTGGAGCTCAGTCCCCATTAAACACCAACTCCCCACCCTCGGCCCCTGGCACCCACCCTTCTGCTTCCCGTCTCTATGGACCTGATGGCTCCAGGGACCTCGTGTAAGTGGGATTGCCAGTGTTTTATCCTTTTGTGACTGGCCTGTTTCACTTAACGTGTCAGAATTTCCTTCCTTTTTAAGGCTGAATAATATTCCATTATATGTATAGACCACCTTTTGTTTATCCGTTCATCCATCAACAAACACTTGGGTTACTCCCAGTTTTGGGGTATTGCGAATAATGAACGTGGGTGTACAAATTCGTCTTCAAGTCTCTGCTTTCACTTTTGGATACGTACTCAGAAGTGGAATTGCCAGATCATATGGTAGTTCTATTTTTAATTTTTGAGGAACCTGCATACTGTTTTCCATAGTTGGCTGCACCATTTTATATTCCCAGCAACAGCACACAAGGGTTCCACTTTCTCCGTGTTCTCACCGACGCTTGTTCTCTCCCCCTCTCTCTCTCCCTCTCTCCCTCTCTCCCTCTCTCTCTATGTGTATATATATATATATATATATATATGTATGTATGTATGTATACATATGTATATATAAAATACACACAGACACACAAATACACACCCCATCCTCACGGGTGTGAGGCGTCATCTCATTGTGGTTTTGATTTGCATTTCCCTAATGAGTAGTGATGTGGAACATCTTTCCATGTGCTGTTGGCCATCCATATATCTTCTCTGGAGAAACGTCTACTCAAGTCCTTCATCCATTTTAAAAATCAGGTTGTGTTGCTGTTGACTAATGACTTCTTTTTTTTTTTTTTTTTTTTTCGGTCACCACGTGGCATGCACAATCTTAGTTCCCTGACCAGGGATTGAATCTGTGCCCCCCTGCAGTGGAAGCTCAGAGTCCTAACCACTGGACCACCAGGGAATTCCCATTAATGACTTCTGTTATATATTCCTGCATCGGCAGGCGGACTCTCAACCACTGCGCCACCAGGGAAGCCCTAATGACTTCTTTATATATTCTGGGTATTAATCCCTTATCCAATATATAGTTTGCAGATATTTCTCCCATTCCGTGGGTTTCCTTTTCACTCTGTTGATAGTATCCTTTGATGCACAAATCAAATATTTTACAGTTCCACTAGCAGCCACTTCAGAAGTTTGTCAGCTCTTACTCTGAGATTCCTCGGTGACATGAACACGCGAGGTTGGTAGTTGGCGTCCCAGGTTTGGGTTTGGAAGACCCAGACCTTCCAAGCAGGAAAGGCCTCGTTGCCTAGAAAACGCTTGATATTTAGGTTTTCTCCCTTGACCCTGGGAGTAGGCCTGATTTCACAATATTTATGAAGAAACAGACCCCCGGGGATTGCGAGTGAAGCAGACACAACAGCAGAGATGCCAGGACTCTTGAAAGGTGAGTCGCATTCCAGGACATTTCCACCTTCCCAGATGTAAACCAGTAGTGAACACACCTCCGTGGGTACAAGGGTGGTGGCAGTCAAAGCCCAGAACCGCGTCTTGGGGCAGAGGGAATTAGAGGACCTTCCCCCCACCCCCCCGCACCGGGCCAGGGCTCCACGTTTGCCTGGACTGCCCGGTTCCCAGAGGCTTTCACCTCCCATCTTCTCTGAACTTCACAGAGCCCGCAGACATAGATGTTCTTCTCGCTCTCTGCCTGTTACCCTGGGGTCCCTGGACTTCACATGTCAGCCCTGCCATGAACCGCTTGAGCCGCTGGGCCAGGCACTTTGCATGACTTGTAACCTTGCTTTTTGTCAGGGGGAGAGGAGAGCGGCACGCTGGAGCTTACGACAGCCCCGTCCAGCCTGGGGCCTGGTGCGCAATCGGCGTTCGGGAAACGTGGGCTAAGTCTGGGGAGGATGTGACACCCCCGGAGGACACGTGACTGACAGTGGCTCTGGCATTCAAGGAGGACTTATGAGCAAAGCAAACTTGATCTGTTATTTCATTTTTACAGCAACCATGTTATCCCCGTTTGCAGGGTGTAGAAACAGGCTCAGAGAGGTTAAGAAATTTAACCAAGCACACACAGTTATGAACCTTGGACCTGAACACAGCGTGATTTCCAGTGACCTGCTCCCTACTCCCAACTTCGTATAAAAAAACATGCAGGAGGGCTTCCCTGGTGGCGCAGTGGTTGAGAGTCCGCCTGCCGATGCAGGGGACATGGGTTCGTGCCCTGGTCCGGGAAGATCCCACCTGCCGCGGAGCAGCTGGGCCCGTGAGCCGTGGCTGCTGAGCCTGCGCGTCCGGAGCCTGTGCTCCGCAACGGGAGAGGCCATAACACTGAGAGGCCCACGTACCGAAAAAAAAAAAAAAAACATGCACGAAAGTTGAAAGAATAATTCACACACACACACACACACACACACACACACACACACACACACACCCTTCCCCCAGGTTCAACAAGTGTGAACATAATGCCACATTTCCTTCACACTTTCTCTGAATATATATATATGCACACACGTACTTGAAAGTAAGGTATAGACATCATGACCTTTTACCCCTGTTGTGGATTGAATGTGTCACCTCCCCAAATTCATATGTTGATGCCCTAGCCCCCAGTATGATGGTATTTGGAGATGGGCCTTTGGGAGGTTTTTGGGGTCAAGTGAGGTCATAAGAGGGGGCTTCTCCTAATGCGATCAGTGCCTTTATAAGAAGAATCACCAGCGAGTTCTCTCTCTGTCTCTCTCTCCTACTGCGCACACTCCCCGAGGAAAGGCCACGTAAGGACGTGGCAAGAAGGCGGTGGTCTGTAAGGAAGGAATGGGACTTGCACCAGAACCCAACAATTCTGGCACCCTGATGTGGGACTTGCAGCCTCCAGAACTGTGAGCAAATTAAATTCTTTTGTTTAAGTGAATGGTATTTTGTTATGGAAGCCTGAGCAGACAAAGACAACACCTGAACACCACCACGTGCATCTGCTAAGAATAAAGAAAATCTCTTACATAATTACACCCAAGAAAATTAGCAATAACTCTGTAATATCTAATATTCTATCCAAAGTCAGATTTTTCCCAATTGTCCTAAGAATGTCTTCTCATAACTGCTTTTTAAGTTTTCACCCAGACGGGACTTCCCTGGTGGCACAGTGGTTAAGAATCCACCTGCCAATGCAGGGGACACGGGTTCGAGCCCTGGTCCGGGAAGAGCCCACATGCCACAGAGCAACTAAGCCCACGTGCCACAACTACTGAGCCCGTGCTCTAGAGCCCACGAGCCACAACTACTGAGCCCACGTGCCACAACTACTGAAGCCTGTGCGCCTAGAGCCCGTGCTCTGCAACGAGAAGCCACCGCAATGAGAAGCCAGCTCGCCACAACTAGAGAAAGCCTGCACGCAGCAACGAAGACCCAACACAGCCAAAAATAAATAAATATATTTAAAAAAAAAATTCAACCGGAATCCAGGCAAGATCCACACATTATATTTGACGTCTCTTAATCTAGAACAATCCTTCCCCCACCGCCAGCCCCTCCACCTACATCATTGACAATTTTGAAGACAGGCCACTTGTCCCATAAAATGTACCACTTTCTAGATTTGTCTGATGTTTCCTGGGGTCTAAATTCAGACACAGTATATTTTGGCAAGAATTCCGCGTAACAGATGCTGTCTATACTGCGTCCTATCAGGAGGCATCTGTTGGCAGGGTAGTTAAGGCTAGGTTGGGGACCCATATTTAACCTCGATACAAAATAAGCCACCAGACTTTCAGCTCAGCGCCTTTTCTTTACACCAGCAAAGTCGGCTGCGCTGGGACCCGCAGTGCGGAGTCCACCGCGGGACGGTCCCTTTGGGTCTCCCACGGCCCCGCTCCTGCACATCTTCGCCTGGCCGCGCCCCGGCCCGGCCCATCCCCCACCGCTCCTCAGCCCCGCCGGCCTAGCAGGCGGAACCAATAGCATCTGGCACTGCGCTCGACGTCGCCCGCCCGGAGTCTGAATGCCGGCGCTCCGGGCGCACGCGGACGCCGAGGCGGGCTTCCGGCGCACGCTGATCTGCAGCCGCCGACGGGCCGGAGTTCGCGGAGCCGCTGCAGTCTGTCTCGCCTGTGCGCCTGGTTCAGCCGCCGCCATGGGGATCCTGGAGAAGATCTCCGAGATCGAGAAGGAGATCGCCCGCACGCAGAAGAACAAGGGTGAGGGCCGGCCCGGCGGGGCGCCTGCGGCGGGCGGGGGGCGCTGCCGGAGCCGGAGGAGCCGGGCGGGATCCCGAGGGTGCGGATCAGGGCCAGACCAGCGGGCCGAGTAGAGAACCCCAGCATACGGAGCAAGCATCCGACCCGCAGAGGCGGGGTCGGGGTTCGAAGCCGGGTCTCCTGGCGGTCGGGCCTGGTGGATTGGCGCTCTGCTCCTTTGTGGGCGGAAGTCCAGGAGGAGCCCCCCCCCCACACACACACACAGGTACAGCCTCACCAGCTGCCCGGAGCCCCTCGGTGGGGTGGAGGCAGTCAGGACTTGAGTCTGGCGGACCTGGGTTTGGACCCCGGCTCCACCTCGTACCTGCTGTGAAAGCTCGGGAAGTCACCTCACCTCTTGGAGCCTCAGGGTCCCCCTCTGCAAATGAGGGTAATAACCCCGTGCGCCCTCTTAGCTCACAACTAAGTTAAACCGGATTCTGTTTTCAAAGCACTGGACGCATGTGAGCACCCGGTATTAAAGTGAATCCCGCAGCACAGGTAACACTTGATGAAGCATCAGATCTGGGCGCAGACTGTAAGGGCTGCGGGAGCTCAGAGAGGAGCAGTGAGGAGAGGAAACTGGTGACACCCAATAAAGGCTTCCAGGAGGAGGTGGGACTTGAGCTGGTTGGCGGGGGGTGGGGGGGGGGTGGGTGGGTGGGGGATTCTGCGGGAGCTCAGAGAGGAGCAGTGAGGAGAGGAAACTGGTGACACCCAATAAAGGCTTCCAGGAGGAGGTGGGACTTGAGCTGGTTGGCGGGGGGTGGGGGGGTGGTGGGTGGGTGGGGGATTCCAGGAGAGGGGCACTGCTGAGGCAAAGACACGGGAGCTGAGGTGAGCACAGCGTGTTCATGGGAGAGTGAAAAGGAGAGTCTAGATGAGAAGGAGGGTCTGGAGTAGTGGGAGTTGTGGTTGGCTGTGGTGGGCGAGGCCGAGTGCCTGACCAGCCCTGCTGTGGGATTGCAGGAGCAGGAAGCAAGCCGATGGTTGGCCTCAGTGTCTGTCGTCCCTTGGCTGTGAAGTTGGGGGGCCTCCTTCACGCTCATTCTGTAAATACTCACGGAACCCTTACTAGGTGCCAGGCACTGTGGTTAAAGCAGTGAACAGCTCGCACGTCCTTGCCCGCGTGGAGCTGACCTTTCAGTGGACCATCTGTAAACTGGTAGCTGAATACGCAAGATAATTTCAGCCAATAATAAACGCTGTGGAGACAGACTAGGGTGATGTAGCAAGCGTGTCGGGGTGAAGGGCTGGGGCTACTAAGGTGGGATGATCAGAGAAGACCACCATGAGGTGGGGACGTTTGAGCCGAGACCAGAATGAGAAGAAGGAACCAGTCATGCAAAGACCTGGGGGGAGACTGTTCCTGGCAGATGAAACAGCTGGTGCAGAGGCCCTGAGGCAGGAATGAACTTGGCTTGTTGAAGGAGCTGAAGGTCTGGGGCTGGAGTGCAGGATGGAAAAGGAGTGGGCCAGTCGTGTAGGCCTTGTAGGTCATGCGAAAGAGTCCAGGTTGTGTTCTAAGGGCAGTGGAAGCTAGTGGAGGGTGTTAAGCAGCAGAGACTTCTGTTCTAGAAGTTCCCCCTGGCTGCCCTGAAGAGTATCATCCATGGGGCTCAAGGAAAGTAGCAGGGAGGCTTGAGATGCTGCCGCTTTGGCAGTGGTCCAGGAGGGGATGTAAAGGTGATTAAGGGATCAAGACCTAGTCCTTCCCTTCAGAGATGCTCAGAGTCTCATGCGCCGGGGTGACAGAAAGGACCACGTGAACCTGACTTGCTGAGCCTGTCCTTGACCACTTCTCACTGCCCTCAATTCACTCATTCAGTTGCCAAAACACTTCCTGAGCACCACGCCGGAAGCTGAGGATCCTGCCCTTCTGGAGGGAGGGAAGCAAAGAAACAAGATTCAGTCGTCTCTCGGTATGGGAGAGGGGGGCATTGGTTCCGGGACCCACCGCAGACCCCACGATCTTAGAATGCCGCATCCGATAGCCAGCCCTCCATGTCCACGGTTCCGCATCCACAGAGTCAATCAACCGCAGACCATGCAGCACTGTGATATCACTGAAAAAAAATCCTGTATAAGTGGACCCGTGCAGTTCAAACCCCTGTTGTTCCAGGGTCGGCTCTAGTTTCAAATGGTGCTGAGAAGCCATGAAGACAAATGGGACCAGCGAGGGGCCTGGCAGGGGTGGGGGTTACTGCAGGCAGTAATAATAACCGACTTGTATTGAGAGCTTACTGTGTGCTGGTCATCGTTCCCAGAGCTTTCTTTAATTACAGAAATCTGCAGAAGTAGGTATCACTGCTAACATCCCTATTTTGCAGATTAAGAAACTGATGCACAAGGAGGTTAAGTAACTTTTCCAAAGTAAAATGGCCTGTAATTTCAGGATGGAATTGCAACACAGGCTCTTAAGCTCTGCGTGACATTGCCTCTGCGTGACTGGGCAGGAGAGGCCTCTTTGAAGAGGTGACCTTGAGCTGAGAAGGAGCCAGCCTTGGGAAGATGAGGTTGAAATGGGGTAGCAAGTGCAAAGGTCCTGAGGCGAGAATGGGCGGCTGGACTGTGCCAATGAGAGGGACAGTGGTGGAGACGGGAAGTGGCCAGGCCGGTCACCTGACCACAGCAACATGACACGTAACTGAGGTCCTGTACCCCGCCTCTGCCGCCCTGCAGTGCAGCTCCCCATCAGTAGTGTAACTTATGTACATGAGAATTTGGAAAAAATCGATATCGAGGAGGAGAAAAAGGAAAGTAATTTATAATTAAAATAGGGTTTATTTCAATAAGTGAATGTAGGGGCACAGCCAAGATACAGTGGAGTTACAAGGAGGCGGTGAGGTGTTTGCAGCACTGGGCATGTGGCAGCCACAGTGCAGATGATGCAGGTGTGTCGTGTGGATGACTCACGTCCCC